GGAGACTGGCTTCTCTGTCACATAGGAGATGGACTAAGAGGTCTCCTGGTGAGTCCCAGAAGTGTGGTTTTCTGTTGTTTGTTTTTGCTCTTTGGGGGGGCCTGCCACCTAGCTCCCAAATAAATCACACATAGAGGCTTATTCTTAATAACAAATGCCTCGCTATAGCTTGGGTTGTTTCTTGCCAACTTTTCTTAACTTTAAATTAACCTGCCTGTCTTTTGTGTCTGGGCTTTTACCTTTCTCTATTTTTGTGTACCTTTCTTTCTTACTCTGTTGCTGCTTGTGTACCCTGGTGGCTGGCCCCTGATATCCTCCTCCTTCTCTCACACCTTCTTCTCTCCTCACCCAGATTTCTCCTTCTATTTATTCTTTCGTCTGTCAGCCCTGCTCATCCCTTCTCCTGCCTCGCTATTGGCCATTCAGCTCTTTATTAAACCATCAGGTGTTCTAAACAGGCAAAGTAACACAGCTTCACAGAGTTAAACAAATGTAACATAAACAAAGTAGCACACCTTAAAATAATATTCCCCAATAGTTTTCTGTTTTGTCTGTTGAGTGTCATTATTTTCTCCAGGAATTTACTTACATGCCAGTGCTAATTAAACAGCTATATCATGTGACCATGAAACCAAGTCTTCTTGTTTGAGTTGTGTGCTCACTGTACACCACCAAGGCCAGGAAGAAAGAAGCAGGTTCCCAGTGGTGTTAACATACAATGTGCAAGAAGCTGAAAGCATGACTCAGGCACAGGCTAAAATGAACATCTGCTCAGGGTTTTATTCAACTCATGAATAAACAAGATATCCTGTAGGTGGAGTTTTCTCGTTGGGACTGCTGGCTCTGCAAATAACCACACAGAGACTTAATATTAATTTTAAATGCTTGGTCAACAGACCAGGCTCTTATAACTTAAATCAACTCATTTCCATTCATCTATGTGCTGCCCCGAGGCTCCCATGTTGCTTCTTCAGCATCTGGCGGCTGACTTCCAAGACTCTGTCCTTCTTCCCAGCATCCTCCTGCCCCCAAAATTTGCCTAACTGTCAGCCAATCAGCTTTTTATTAACAATGATAGCAACACATCTTCACAGTGTAAAGAAGGATTATTCCACAGCAGTATCCCAAAAGATAAGGTGGTTCAGTCACAGAGCACTTGAAGAATTGGTGTATGTATTATCAATTAATAAGGAACTGCTAAAATAAAAGTGTTAGGTTAGACACAAAGCCTCCCTTAGGCAACAAAACATAGTATTTAAGGCTTTTTTTGTTTGTTTGTTTTTTTAACCAGAAATGATTCTACAGGTTAGCAATGGCTTGGCTCTAATTAACTAATAAAATTTAAATAATTAAATGACCCTGGGTGAGCTTTGTAAACAATGGCATTGAAGCCAGTCATTTTGGGGCTTAATGTTTTGAATGTTTTGAAGATGGTTCTACTGGAAACCTTTGCACTAATTCTGAAAGCACAAGAACTCCGAATATTCCTGGCAGTTACTCATCCCTCTCCCTGTCCTCTCTGGTGGTCCACTGTGCTCCAGGGTGGATAGTCCTCTGTGAAGAAACAGCTCACAATCATATAGAAGCCAGGGGAAGCTAGTTCTCAAAATTTCATTGTCAAATTGGCTTAGCATACTGTCCTCACTTGTCTTCACTAATTCCTGTAATAACTATGTGATGAAATTTTGTTTTAAAGTGGTCATGAGTGTGTGTGGTGTGTGTGGGGGGGGGAGGGAGATTTGTATGTATATTTATATCAAAGTAAGAGAACAACCTGAGGTTCGTTCTTCAGGCATAGTCCACCTTTTTTTCTAATGTATTCTCTCACCAATCTGGGGTTCAGCAAGTTGACTAAGATAGCTGGGCAGAGAGCCCCAGGACTCCCCATGGCTTTGCCCTCCTAGTGCTGAGATTGTGTTTGGTGTGATGTGGCTTTGAAGTTCTGGGGGACAAACTCAGATCCCAGGCAAACACTTAAAGACTGAGCGGTCTCCCCAGCTTCTCTGGTTTTTGTTCTGTTTTACACTCCCCTGCAAACCACAGTTCATTGTGTTAGAATAAGGACGTAACTATGTGGACACAATTAATTAGCAACCAAAAAAGAAAACGGGCATCTCCCAAGGTTAACAATTTCTGCCCCAGTTGTCAGGATCATTACTCTATAGAAAAGAAGCAAGTCTGCATTTATCTTGGTTTTAGGGAGCGTTGAAATTCCTAAAACATAAGGGATTGTGACAATTAAAAGCAAAGTGCAAAATATTTTCACCTACTTAGTTCTTCCAATGATTAGATAATATTATTAAAAATGTGTTAATATTCTTACAAAATCTGAATAGGTTTTCTTATATCCAACAAGGTCACTAAACATTTTCTTACCTCTTATGCCAAATTGAATTTTTGTGCTTTTAAAGAAAGAACAGGAAAGAGAGACTAGAAGACAAAGTCAGGAAGGCAGTGAAGAACCAGACCTTTTCAGGACCTGGACCTCAGAGTGGGTCTTCTCAAGGGATCCCCCTGCCTGTGGTCTCAACACTCAGAACCATGTTTTTCTACCAAAGGTTGTAATACCAGGAAGTAGTGTGGCCTCTTGGCAGGCAAGTCAGGATCACAATATAGGTCAAAAAGCAACCCGGAGGGACAGGCCATCTGTGTCCTCCAGTCCTGCTGCTTCTTAGGAGCCCGATGAAGCTGAAGGTTGTAGGGTAGTTTCTGTGATGGTTGTGATATTCGGTTGATTGATTTGAGAGACACCTGGGAGACTAACAAAGCACAGCTCTGGGCATGTCTGCAAGAGAAGATCTGCCCTCAGTCACCCTCCAAAGGACTGGGGGCACTACGGCCTGGCAGGCAAAGCAGGAGGACAATTGCTGGCAGAGCCATGGTTTGTTCTGCTGCCCAGCCCTCACAAGGTACATCTTTACTGCCATGTTAGCCTGCCCCTCCCCAACACCCACCCCAAAGCAACTGATCCAGCTGGTTTGGGACAGAAACCTCTGAGACACTGAACAGAAACACATCTTTCCCCTTATCATTGTTCCTCTCGGGTAATTGTTAGGGACAAAAAGCCAACATGGTTACTGAAAGGTTTTTAGGAGCTCTCTTAGAGGAGCATGGGAGCCTTGAAGGGAGATTCAAACTCTGCACTGTATTTATTCAATCTTTTTGGCTATGGAAGGTGCTCAATGGCCCAAGCAATTCTCTTTTGCAGCAGGGTGGTGCAGAGTGTATGTGACGGTGTAGGGTACAGGCATTTCACAGCCTGCGAGGAACATGAAAAGAAATGTGATGATCAAGTTACATTATTTATTGAATTTTTTTGCTACAAATAACAAAAAAAAAAAAAAACCACCAAGGAAAATTAGCTTTGTTTAAAAAAAGAGAGAGATCATTAATTCTAGACACGGGGCAGTAAAGTCAATTGCTTACTTTTGGTCTAATAATTATGAGCAAAGTCAAGTCTTATCATAAGCCTAGATGTTACTGCTTCCTCCTGGGAGCTACTCACAAAGAAAGCACAGGTAGAGCACACAGCCCAAGCAGCCACTGTCATGCAGATATACTGATAGGCCTTCCATCTCCGTGTTTATTTTATTTGGAGGCAATTTAGAACTCCTTCTTAATCTATGGGGCTCAAAGTCTCTCTCTCTCTCTCTCTCTCTCTCTCTCTCTCTCTCTCTCTCTCTCTCTCTCTCTCTGTGTGTGTGTGTGTGTGTGTGTGTGTGTGTGTGTAGAAATACCACAGTTAATGTGATTTTTTTTTGAGTTGTGTTTTAATGAGAAGCTTTTTCTCTCATGCCGACACAAATGGGAAAGAATACTGATCCTGTGGGCTGGACCAGTGTCTCAGCCTGGGAAGGTTAGGCTCACAACCAAACAGACAAGAATACTGGGCTTGCACTGATGGGAATGCTAAACCCTTAGTGCCATCAGTGACTGGCCACTGGATGGAGCACAGCTCACAACGGTGCTCTGCAGAATGAAACAGAGTTAGATTCTCCTTACAGTAGCTTCAATATACTCCTCAGCTATGAAGTGGCCTTTCCCTCGGGTGGGATTTGTTGTCAGGTTGACTGAAGATATTCAGAGAAAAAATAGTTAAGAGAGGCTACGGAATGGAAATAATATTTCTGGAATTTCACAGTCATTGTGTATAGTGTCCCTAACAAATCCTTTCTTTGGCTCCTGAGATGCTAATTAAATGTACATTATACTATCATTCTATCATATTAACTTTTCCAGATTTGTTGCTTTTATGTTTCATTGATTTTTTTTTAATTACCTATGTAACATTTTTACTAATTCTCTCCTCAAACTGTATTCATTTAATCTTTAAAAATTTAGTTCATATGTTTCTTCGTAGGTCTTGTCTGGGGAGATGGCTCAGAGGGTAACGCACTTGCCACAGAAGCAGGAGAGTCTAAGTTTGAACCCACACACAGCCAGTCATACTAGTACACACCTGTGATCCCAGAACCCCCAAGGCAAGACAGGAGGAGGAGATGATAGTCCCGGAAGCTTGTGGGCCAGCCAGCCTGTCATACCCAATAATGAGTGACAAAGAGAGCTCGTCTCAGACAAGGTGGAGGGGAAGACCTAACTAATACCACCAGCCTCCTTATGCCTGCTGTGACATGTGCACATGCATATCATACAAACTCACTCACACACACACACACACACACACACACACACACACACACACACACAGTTAATAGGTCGTCCTATAGATACAATTTTGTCCTGTAAGAGTTACTGGGTGTGATTTTACAGAGCAAGACAATATCCCCAAGTGATGAACTCAATGAACTCAAGTTAACATAGCTAAAATGCAGGTAACAGTGACTGTGAGTACGGCATTTTGTTGTTCTGATTGGTAAAGAAAGGTTGCAGAGAGTCACCCTACACAAATGCCATCTTCCTATCCTCTGTAAGATCGCTGCATCCCTGGATAAATTTAATCAACTTTGTCCCATGTGACTTTCCTGCTTTCTCCTTGCCAGATGTGAGAGCATGGAGCTCGATGACAAAATCCGGGATCTGATAGCAGGCACCCCAGAGGCCACATCCAGTCTCAGAAATGGCCATTCTCCACAGGTAAGGAGCTATTTTCTTTCTAGTTTATCTCAACACGCACTCAACAATTTGTTCACCCAAATCATTTATGGTCAGCCATGAACTTCCTCGATGCCTGAGAAGGTAGTATGAACCTGCACAAACCTTATCTTCCAGTCAGTATAAGGCCCCTGCTAGGGGGAGCCTGAAGCATCAAGGGGGGCCTGGAGCAGCAAAGGGGAGCCTGAAGCGGAGCACCATGGCTTCCAGGAGAGTAAGAAGGACACCAACTACTAGAAAGAACACGGAATACAGCAAAGGCACCTTTGGAGAATGTGACCCAGTTGGTTAAAATCAACACAATTCACACTCATGTTTGTTTGCAGTTGATTTTATTTCCCCGTTTAATGGCGGGAGTGGGGGAGCACTTTACCGATGAAAGGAATTATTTTGGCTTTTAATTTCCTTGTCTTTGAAGACGTTTGTTGGTGTAGTTATACTCTCCTTTAGGCCACCAGCTCACAAATAGCAACAAAGAGACTTATTAAGTATGAAAGCTTGGCCTTAGCTTAGGCTTTTTTCCCAGCTAGCTCTTATAACTTAAGTTTACATTTATATTAATCTACATTCTGTCATGTGACTTGGTTACCTCCCCTCTGTACCATATGTCTAAATTCTTCAGTGTCTCCTGGCATTTCCGCTCACCTAGATTCGTCTCCTCTTCCTCTCTGTCCCCAGAAACCCCCCCTATCCTCTCCTGCTTAGCTATTGGACATTCAGCTCTTTATTAAACCAATCAGAAGGTGCCATGACAAAGACACATCTTCACAGTGTACAAAAAGATTATCCCACAACAGTACTGCTATGTAAATAGAGAACACTTAAGGTTAAGCTTTAGCTGAGGATGTGGTAGACAGCTTTCCAGGAATGCATCATAAAACACCAGGAGCTGTATGGCTCTGGATAATCCACAGTTAGAACCCACCTCTAGCAATCATTTGTAAGATCCAATGTGAGTACTTTTGCACGTATGGCTGATGTTGAAAGCTAAACACCTTAAATTTTATAAAAAAAATAATTTCAGTCTGTATCAGTAATTAATAATCTTTGTGGAAAGTATTTATGGATTAGCAGAGAGAAGACTATCAAACTCAGAGACATTTACTGTAGAGCAAATGGGGACTGGATGCCCCTAAGCAAACATTTACTATCATGAATTCACATATTTAGGTGACCCCTGTGAAAGGATTGTTCTTGCCCCCTAAAGGATTGTGGCCCACAGATTGAGAACCACTGGATATGACCTTGCCCTTGTGACTGTATATAGTTTGAAGTTCTTAGTGATAGCTGTCCCTCCTACTATTCCCTCCCTTTCTCGACTTTCCCTCCCTCTCTCTCTCTTCAATCTTCCTATTCCAGTCTCCCCCTCCATGGCTCTCCATAACTATATATTCTTTCCCCAACTCCAGTCTCTTACTCTATACCTAACTTCTGTGGTTATATTGATTGTAGCATGCCTACTGAAGGCGTAAAAGCTAACATATAAGAGAATACACGCACACACACACACACACACACACACACAATTTGTCATTTTGAGTATGGATTACCTCACTATATGTGATTTTTTTTTAGGTCCATGCACGTCCCTGTGAATTTTGTGATTTTTTTAAACAGTTGAGTAATATTTCATTTTGGAAACATACTTCATTTTCATTTCTATTGAAGGGCATCTAGGTTGTTTCCATATTCTCGCTGTTATGAATTGAGCAGCAATGAACATGATTGAGTAAGTGTCTCTGAAGAAAAATGGAGAGTCTTTTCACTAAATGCCCAAGAGTGAGATAGCTGGATCTTGAAGTAGACAGATTTCCCGCTTCCTCAGTGACTGCCACACTGATTTTCATAGTGGATGTACAAGTTTACCCTCCCATCAAGCAATGGATGGGTATTACCTGTACCCCACATTATCTCTAACATGAGCTGTCATTTGTTTTATTGATCTTGACCATCCGTACTGGTGTAAGATGAAATCTCAAAGTATTTTTGATTTGCATTTCCCTGATGACTGATATTGGCCATTTTTTAAAGTGTTTCTCCGACATTTGTGTTTTACCTTTTAAGAATTCTCTCTTTAGTTCTATAACCCATTATAAATTGGGTTGTTTTATTGAAGTCAAGTTTTTTTAGTTCTTCATATATTTTAGATATTAGCCTTCTATTGGATGTGTAATTGGTAAATATCTTTTCTCATTCTGTAGCCTGCCATTGTGCACAAATGATGGTGTCTTTTGCCATGCAGAAGCTTTTCCATTTTGTGAGGTGCCATTTGTTAATTGCTAGTCTTATTGTCCATGCTTCTGGTGTCCTGTTCAGAATGTCTTTTCCTGTGCCAGTGAGTTCAAGACTACTCCCTACTTCCTTTTCTATCAGATTTAGTATATCTGGCCTTATGCTGAGGTCCTTGATGTATATGGAGTTGAGCATTGTGCATGGTGATAAGTATGACTCTGTTTGGATTCTTTTACTTGTAGCCATCCAGTTTGACCAGTACCACTTATTGAAGATGCTGCTTTTCCTCCCAGTGTGTATTTCTGTCTTCTTTGTCAACAACTGCATGCCATTAAGCTTGTAGGCTTAAGTTTGAGTCTTCAATTCCTTTGGTCAATATTTTTGTTCTTATACCATTATCATAGCTGTTTTTATTACTATAGCCCTGTAATACAATTTGAGATGAGGGATGGTGATAACTCTAGCTGTTCAGGATTGTTTTAGCTGTCTTGGGTTTTTGTGTTTCCATATGAAACACAAAATTGTTTCAGTTGAAATCAGTTGAAAATTGGTCTTTCAAGTTCTGTGAAGAATTGTGTTACAATTTTGAGGCTGATTGTATTGAATCTGTAGCTAGCTTTTGGCAGGATGCCCATTTTCACTCTATTAATTCCACTCATCTATGATCATGGCAGATCTTTCCATTTTCTGATATCTTCTTCAATGTCTTTAAGTTTTTGTTATTCATTTGCTTGGTTAGAGTTACCCTAAGATTTTTTTCCTTTTTTTTTGAAGGCTGTTGTGGTAGGTATATTGTTTCCCTGATTTCTTTCTCAGTCTGTTTATCATTGGTATATAGGAGGGTTACTGATTATTGTGCGTTAATTTTGCATCCGGCTACTTTGAAGAATGTGTTTATTATCTGTAGAAGTTTCCTAGTGGAGTCTTTAGGCTCCTTTATGTAGAATATCATATTTTCTGCATAAAAAGAGATTTCAACTTCTTTTCTTATTTTCATTCTCTTGATCTCCTTTGGTTGTTTTATTGCTTTAGCTAACACTTAAAAGTACTATATTGAATAAGATAGAGAAAGTGGGCATCCTTGGTCTTATTTCTGATTTTAGTGGAAATACTTGAGTTTCTATCCCTTTATGTTGTTGTTATCTGTGGGCTTTTGGTAGACTGTCTCTGTTATTTTGAAGTATAACCCTTGTACCTCTAGTATCTCCAAGACTTTTAACATGAAGGGGTGTTGGATCTTGCCAAAGGCTTTTTCTTCATCTAATGAGATGACCTGTGGTTTTTGTCTTTCAGTCTGTTTATCAATTTACAAATGCTTTATCCCTGCATCTCTGGCATGAAGCCTATTTGATCATGGTGGATTATCTTTTTCATGTGTTCTTAAATTCAGTTTGTAAGTATTTTATTTAGAATTTTTGCATCTATGTTCATTAGGGAAATTGCTCAGTAATTTTATTTCTCTGTTGGATCTTTCTGCAATTTAAGTATCAGGGTATTTGTGGCCTCATAAAAAGAATTGGGCAATGTTCTTTCTGTTTCTATTTTGTAGCATAATTTGAGAAGTATTCATGTTATTTCATCTTTGAAGGTATAGTAGAATTTTTCCGAGTCCATTTGGCCCTGGCCTGGTTTTGGTTAGGAAACTTTTAATTACTGTATCTATTTTACTAGAGGTCACAAGTCTGTTTAAATTGCTTATGTAATCTTTGTTTAACTTTGGTAGATACTATATATCAAAAAATTTATCTATTTATTTTAGGTTTTATAGTTTGTTGGAATACAGATTTTTAAAATATGTCCTTAAGAATCTCTAAATTCCTTAGATGTCTGCTGTTATGTTCCCATTTTGTCTCTAATTTTATTAATTTGGAGCTACTCTATCTTTTAGTTCATTTGGCTGTGTTTGGCAATCTTACTAATTTTCTAAAAACACCAACTCCGTGTTTCAATGGTTCTTTGCGCTGTTTTTGTTGCCATTTCTATTTTATTGATTTCAGCTCTGACTTTGATTATTTCTTGCCATCTACTATTTTCAAATGTTAAAACTTCCTTTTCTTTTAGAGATTTCATGTATGCCATCAAGTTGCTGTTATGAGATCTCACCATTTTTTTGTTTTGTTTTGTATTGCTATGATCTTGCCTCATAGAACCACCTCCATTGTGTCCCACTAGTTGTGGTGTGTTGTGTTTTCATTTTCAATCAATGCTAAAATGTTTTTAATTTTTTTATTAATTTTGTCTTGACTCATTTTTGACTCAGTGGTAAGTTGTTCAGTTGCGATGAGTTTATATACTTTCTGTTGTTGATGATATCTAGCTTTACGATGTGGTGGTCAAATGGGATAGAGTGCATTACTTCAATTTTCTTATATTTGTTGAGACTTGCTTCATGTCCAAGTATGTGGTCAAGTTTGGAGAAAGTTCCATGAGCGGCTGAGAAGAAAGTATATTGCTTTGTGTTTGGGTGAAATATTCTGTAACTTTCTGCTGGGTTCATTTCATTTATGTATTTTACTACAGCATTTCTGTTTAGTTTATGTTTGTCTGACTTGTCTGAGAGTGGTATATTAAAATGACCCACCATCACTGTATACAAGTCAATGTGTTATTCTAGCTGTCATAGTGTTTCTTTTATAAACTTGTATACCCTATGTTTGGTGTATAAATGTTTAGAATCACAATATCCTCTTGGTGAATTTTTCCTTTGATGAGTATGTAGTGTCCCTTCATATTTTCTTCTGATTAATTTT